CAAAATCAAATCCACACAAAGCAACAGGGCCTGGGCTCCGACAGCCCCTACAAAACGACAAAAAATATGAGCCAAATCCAAACCCTCAAAACACCTGGGCTCAAGGGGCCTAAGTCATTCTATCGAACTATCCTACCGCCAGGCCAAGAAGGACCAAAGGGTATCGTAACCCCCCAAAAAAATAAGCCCTGAGAGGGTATCCGCACCGACTCATTGCCTCTACATGTCGTCGCTTCGCAGGCAAGATGGGGTGCCAAGTTGCTGAAGGGGTTGCCGAATGTTTTCATTAGGGGCTTGGCCGGTTGCCAAGCAGGCCCTTGGTGGCCTTGTATTTTAGCTTCTGCGTAGGATAATGGCTATTAGGGCCTTGTAATTTTGGGAGTAGTCTTCCTGAAAAATGATTGTATTTTTGGACATGTACGAAAATTTTGTTTTTTCCACTTTTGCCCGTTGCCTTTCCCGGTTTTGGGCTATGTTTTCAGAAGGACGGCGGGACTCAGTACCCTGTACTGAAGGGTCCCTGCACGCCAGAACCTGACCTGAACGGTTGAAAGGAACTCTATCGGAATCGGAAGTTTTCTATCCAATGGATCCGCCTTTTTTTTGGGTTACGTGCGTTGTGTTTCGGAGGAAAATTTTGCTTTTTCCTCAACGGGGGACCCGGTGCACGGTGGTTGGCGAGTACCCTATTGAGTGGTGCACTGCGGGGCCTCCGGGTACCTTTCAAGATCTGATGGATACATCCCTTATTCAGGCTATGTACGTTATTTTTCGGTTGAAATTTGTTTTTGGCTGAGCCTCGGCTGGGGACTCTGTTTCGGGACGGTTGGCGGGTACCCTACTGAGTGGAACGCTGACTGGCCTCTGAGTGCCTTCTGAGTTCAGATCGAATTNGGACTCTGTTTCGGGACGGTTGGCGGGTACCCTACTGAGTGGAACGCTGACTGGCCTCTGAGTGCCTTCTGAGTTCAGATCGAATTTCGATATATTCCATGGGTGAGTGGCAGTATGCCTCTCACTCACGATGGAACGAATGTGCGTGTGTGGTTAAGATGTACGAAGGCGGCGCCGGAGGACTGGGCGAGTCAGAAGTACGGGCAAGGTGTACACTGTACAGTGGAGTAGATGCGTTCTGGCTATCTGTCTGGCACTGGACGTCACTGATGCGTACGAGATCCTGTCTCTCTTCCGGAGGATTGGCCACAGTTCATTGGCTACGGCGGATATCCCCTTTGTTCGGCCGTGTGTTTGTGTTTGTTTCTTGTGTGTTCTCTGAGCTGTGCAGGCTTTTTTGCAGCATCGACATGGCTCCTTCTCAGTTCTGCCAACTGGACTTCGCCGTATTTGGATCATCCTGCGTCTTTTCGCCATTTATCTGTTCGAAGCTTCTACAATCACTGTTTTGTTGTAGATCCGAGATTGGAGTTGCGATGACCTGGGTGGGGATTCGAGTTGGTGTAGGATAAGTATAAAGGAGGCAAGGCATTGGGAATAGCCTCCGTGGAGCAATGATTAGTACTTGCTGAGTACCTCCTGATAAGTCTACGCACGGGGTAGACGAAATGCGTCGAGGGCGACCGTGGTTTTTCGTGTACTGGTACTATTTTGTACTTCGAATACTTTATGTTTTGGTACCGGTATTATTCTGTACTTCGGCTACTTGCTTTCTTGTGTGCGTAACGGTGTGGATTTCATGGTGTATCTTCCTCTCATCGTTCTCATGCAGCAGCTGTCTTTGCCGGACAGTCCTTCCTTCCTTTCCCGTACGTCAACTGAGCTAAGCTTCCCCCCCCCCCCCAAAAAAAAAAAAAAAAAAAAACTGANCCCCCCCCCCCCCAAAAAAAAAAAAAAAAAAAAACTGAGCTAAGCCTGTTGGTGGAGGACACAATGTGCAAAAAGACGAACTGCGGCAAAAGGGAACTCTAAATGATTTTGAGAAAAAGAAAAAACTAAACCTCAAATGATGAAGTTTGTCTTCACCTGTTTTAAATTTTCAAGAAATTTAGTATTTAGTATTTTACATTGTGGCTTTTTATCTTTTATTCTGTATTGTTTAATTTCGTTTTGGAATTTTCTGATCTGTGGCTGGCGTCCATGCATGTGAGTGCAGCGCCAGTTGTCTTGGGAGCCAATCCAAATCATTCCCCTCGCGCTGGATCTAAGGTGATGAAGGCCCACCACATTTCACACTCACGATTCCCAAATCCAAATCCAATCTTTTTTTTTTTTCCCAAATCACCACTCCCTCGGAGCCTTTTTTTTTTTCCTGACGTCGATTCGCACTTTATACCAAAAAATATACCAAAAAAACAATGAAGCGCGTTTTCTTTTCTGTTTTGGCTGGTGCCGCCAGCGATTTTGGTCCGGTAGCACTGCTGACCTGAAGAATGCACTGGTGTGCTGGGCTACCAGCCGGGCCGCCCAGGTGACCTTGTTTCCCCGGGCTGACCAGCAAGTGGTCCCGGGCCACTCTGGTAGCCTAGTAATAAATCCAAATAATCTGAAGATTCTGAAGAAAAACTTTGTTATGCAGAAAAATATACTGAACAAGTTTTGCCTCTGGGTCGCATCGAGTTGTCAAAGCCAACTCAAAGCATCACATATACATCACATACTCCACACAAGTAACCAGATTGAGCAGAACCATTGAAACCACACCATTTCCTTCTTTTCACCAAAAAAAACATCCTTTTCTTATTGCAGGACCCAGTGACCAAGGAATACACAAAACGACCAACGGAGTCCTACTCCGGCCGGAGCTCGGACCCCCACCACCTCCCCCCCCCTCAAAAGAAGTTACGCACCCCACAAAACAAACCATCAACGGGCCCCGGCCAAAACCTTCACCATAGCCACATCACACCAGTGCAAGCGTAGTTGGCAAATGTCTCAAATACAGATAATCTTGAAGTACATCAGCAGGCTCGGCGCATCCACGACACCGCGTTTGGATGGCTACTAAAAGTCATCAATCAAAGCCTTGCCTCAGAGAGGTACAGGTGGTGTATTTTGATATATAGCCCCAGGTGAAACAGTTTTCACCTTTGGCAGTAGCCGATGCAGATCCCAGGGGTCGATCCCTTGACCTCAGCTTACCTGTG